AAAATCTTCAATAGTGACCAATTTTTGGACGGAAATCCAAAACTTAGAAGAGGAAAAAAATGCTATTCGAACTGCCTCGTTGGGGCATCTCAACATATTCGGGAAAATGGTAAAGAGTTAGAGTGGAGCATTTGTAAGAGGATCTGAATTGTATTTGCTTATTCTAACACTTCTTTCTGTGAATAGCTTACACAATATGCAAATGGAATTGAAAGTACAAATTTACCAACTAATTTTCATCAACCAGAAGTGCAACAAGAATTACGAGAATCTAATACAATGCGAAATGGTATGTTTGGGCGTTACCACTACAAATTTGTTATCATTAAACATTCTTATATAAATAACGATTTTTAACATTGACCAGAAAATCAGGACTATCATGAAGACCACAGTAAACTATTAAACAATAACATCGATATTATAACCAATGTTACGGATGATTATTTACAAGAAGCAGTGGAGTCCATGGTTGGAAAAGTGGGAAGTGGCATATTGAAAGTGGATAATGTAAATTTGGAAGAAATTTTCGAAAAGTACCGCGATGAGTGTGAAAGTAGATTTGAGTGAGTAAAATCGTCTCCCATAATTATATGAACCTGTTTTATTCATCGTTTTGTTATCAGTTTATGCCATAGTGATATTATGGATTTGAGACCCACTTCACAATTGACAAAAATTATTCCCGAAGTGACGTGGGAAAAATTTATCTTGAATACATATCCTAATCATAAAATATCAGAAAAATGGGAAGAATTAATACAAGGTTTTTTTAGGGTATATTTCAAGATCTAGAAATCTCGAATTATTTTTTGAATTATTAGTCCTAATTGCTGTTTATCAAAAAGTCTTAACCAATCATATTTGTAAATTTGACTATACTAGCATTTATGGTAATTTTGGCCAAAATTATATATATTAAAATTTAAAATTATCTTATTAAATAAATTATTTATATATATTATTTAATTATATATATTTAAATATAATTTTATTTCAATTTTTAAGCTGATTTATAATTGTTCTAATTTTTAAAGCCAATTTTATTAAAAATTAATTTGTTCTAATTTAAAATTAAAATTTTGTTTTAAAAAAATTTGTTAATGTGTATATAGATTATCTATTTTTTTTACAAAATAGTTTAACGTGTATATGGATCAATCAGCATAAAAAAATTTTTATTTAACTTTATATATATTTTATTTGTGTCATTATTTACTTATATAATTTAATTATGAGTACCAATAATAATATAGATAGTGTGAACAGTATAGATAGTATACTAGAAGTTGAAGTAATACCTACTCAAACTTCAAGGAATTTACTAAATTCTAACGAAACTATAACTAAACAAAACTCACATAAAACTTATCTTTTGTGAAATTATATTGATTATAAAATTGAAAATAATATAAAAGTACCTGTCTATATAAAGTGTAAATTTGTATTTTCTAAAAAGTCTGATAACTCTAGCATTGAACGTTACCTTTTAAGTTAACATAACATAACAATACTAAAGTCAAAATAAACAGTCAGTTTTAAATTTCTAATGTACAACTCCTTGGCTTATAAAAGAAAAATCTAAAAGAGATAATCACTTTTTCTAGTATTAATAAATAATTATACAGATAATAAATTTTTTACTAATTTATTTTGCAATTACTTATCTTTTAATTTCACAATTCTGGTCTTAAGTTCAAAATTTTGGTCATAATTTTATTGTTCTCAGCCTTAATTTTATTATTCTCGAACTCAAATCTGATAATACATATTTTCAATTAATCGGCTAATCTAAAATTATTTATTTCAGATTGTATACTTGCATAATATAGTATTATTTATGCTTTATATGTTAATATTCAAAAATAAAGTTCACGTGATTTTAGCTGGAACCTCTTGGTTAAAATTTAAAAAAATTTTATTATTTAATACTAAAAAACTTTTTATTATCTGATACATTCACTTTATAATTTAGTAAAAAATACATGTATAAAATTTCTATTCTATAAATTTTTTGGAGTCAAAACTTTTTCTACTTTTTCACTAGAACTATACTCACTATTCTCAAAGTCAGGACTATATAATATTTTATGAATTGTACACGTTATAACTGTTCTTAATGTCAATAAAGTATTGATAAGAGAATATACAGCATTTGGTGAAGTCATATGTAATAGAATTATTGCCTTTCTCTATTAAACAGTATTTTAAATATCTGATTCTTTTCACATAGTATAAAGTTTTATAACATCGCCTAGAAATGGATAGAGTAAAATATGAATAGTTTATAAATATATAAAAAAATAAAAATAATTTATTTATGCCTACGATATTAAAATAAATATGATCAGATTTTGCCTCTTTAATGATTAGTTAAATATCTTTTTAAGCTCTATTATGTTTCTCATAGTGTCTATAAAATTTTTGAAAAAACAGATTAATTTTTTGTGATTATGAACCCACTTATCTTGATTAAAATTAGATCTACTAGTTTTAAGATACATAATTTCAAGTTTAGCTTTTTTTCCTAACTGGATTACCATCATATAATTAGTTTTTTAGGTAATTTTATAAGAACCTTTTTGTATAGCACTAGTTGAATTTCCTTTTTTACACCTTATTTTTAAAAACATATTAATTATAGCAAAGAATATAATAGTGATATAACTTTCTAAGCTAAGCTTACCATATATTCTATACTATTAGTTTTACTAGTAAATCACTTATTATTATATTGATCAATGGTATAAATACTTCACAAATATATGATCCTTCATTTATTAATTTTCCCTTTTTTATATATACTTTATATTTTAGCGATTTCTAAATTTTGAGTCATAATTATTTATCAGTTAATGAGCAAAGTAAAAAATTTTCTTAGCAATTTTGCAAATATGCAATTTTTGACTTACATTGATTCTAACATCTGTTTTATTAAATCTTGTAATTCTTTAGATTTATCCAATCATTCTTCATAATTAATATTACCCAAAATCTCATTCATATTAATTTTTGATTTCTTATTCTAGATAAATTCTTTATAGGCTTCCATTACATTATGATTCTATTTTAACTATATCTTCAAAATGGTTTCTTAAAAATATCAAAAACTGATCTAAGCATATTTGTAAAGAATTCTGACTTGATACCTAGAATACCTAAACAAATTAGATAATTGAATCCAAGATTCTTCATATTTATTTTCTCAAGTTCTGTTTTTATTCTTTCCTACATAGTTTTCTCATAACTAGTACTTTTAGTTATGTATTGTCTAATGTCACACTTCAAAGATCATAAATTTGTATTTATATCTTCATATTAGACTTCAGTATTGATTACTAATACTTTATTTTTAAGAGTAAATATAGATCTTTGAATGCAGTTCTGACCTAAATTGTATTTAAAATTAGTTATTAAGACTCAGTTGACAAATAATTTAATTTTATATTATGAGATCAGATTAGATTTTCATTTTCATAAAGTTTCAAATGCTGACAAAATGTTTGATATGTAGCCATATGCTAATATATGATATAAAACTAGTTACTACTATATGAAAAATAATAATATTACAACAGAAATCAGCCTTTTGCTAGTGATTATACTATACTAGAAAACCTAAAAAAAGCAAGTCATCATATTTATATATTCATTATGAAAATAATTATCATTTTACCTATTTAGCTAATTTTTTCTTAATACCAAAATTTTGAAGTTTCTTTCTTTGCTGAATATCTTTTAAGAGGACTTATTTTAAGACTCTTTTCAAAATATTCTCAAAATTCTCCACTTCTTTTTCAAGAATACCTATCCATTCATCTTTCTCTACTTGTACAAATAATACTGTAGAAATTCTGATGATATTTAAAGATTCTTTTATTAAACAAATTCTTTCAGATTTTGATAGAATAAAAAGTTAAACATTAGTGAAAAGCTTGCTAGGTGAAAATTTCTTCAGAATGATAGGTATCTAGAAAAGCAATGTTATCTTTACTATTAGACAAATATTAAAAGTATACATGATCATTATAACTAGGCTCATAATTGAGGTGACAAAACTAAAGAAGAGCCTAGTTACTTTATTTATTATTTTAGGGTTAGGCCCAAAATTTTTTTGTACAAACATATAGTACAGTAAACCCTTGATATAACGAATTTGGCGTCCAAGTTGATCAGGCCTTCATTATAAAAAAATTCGTTAACGCTATAACGAATTATTCGTTATACATACCAAATAATTCGTTATAGCGTTAATGTCAC